CAGAAATCAAATGTGCATTATATAGAATGCTTCCCCCAATTTCCAATACCCAGGTTTTCTGTAGATCCATCAAGTTTGTTGGGTGGGGAGGTGGTATTGTTGACATAGAAATTGAAGATTTGCATCATAAAAAAAAAACATTGTATTTGTTATAATCACATTAGAGTACAAGAGAAATTATGGTCCTTGTTTTTATTATTATTAATGAAAAAATTATTTAGGCATACCTTTACAAGTGGGATGTATAGGCCTACTGTAATATATCTTTAAAATTTCAAGTCTTTTATGTGAAATAAGGATTTTCAAATTTTGTTTTAGGTTGGAGTCCATTCCGCAAAATTTGAGAATGAACGTGTATCAGCAAATATCTTGGCAGCCATTGAGAGGTACCACATTCATCATCCTGTGGTGAACGATGCCGAAGCAAAGATGTGGACTCAGCTTGGCATTGCTTGTTGGCCTACTCTCCTTATATTAGGTAAATGATTTTTCCCACCTTTTAGAAAATCTGTGTTTGAGTATGTAGGAAATTCATCAATTCTTGTTTCAAGAGAATAGCTGTTTGTCGATATGTATATTTGTAGTTAATTTGTGTTGTGATTATCATTCAAAAATGAACTACCAGTATGATTTTAATTTGTCCATATATATTAGACTAATAGAAAATCTAGCAGAGTATTTTTTCTATTAGCTTGGTTTTATGCAGAGGTAAATGTGCTTTCCAGATCCCAATGGCCATCCAATGTTTATACTTGTGGGAGAGGGCCACAGAGAACGTCTCCAGTTGTATGTTGACTGTATGGTGGAATATTTCTCCAGCAATGGGTATGATATGTGCTTTGCTGTTGTGCATTTCATGATCAGGAAGTGTTTTTGTTGCTCAATAATCATTTTTGTGTAAGATTTGGATATTTAACCCTGTACAAGATTTAGATGCAAGTCTTTTGCCTAATTGTTAAAACAAATATAAAGTGCATCTATACAACTTTTAAAAAAAGGGATAATCAGCTTGTCAGTTTCTAGTGGAGGAAAATCATGGTATATCTTCACTGTATTTTGGGAAAAAATGCAAATTCTGCACTTAATGAAGTAAAACAAAAGAAAAAATGTATTGATTGTATTTGCTTTATATTTCATCATTTTTAAAGTTGAAAATGACCTCCATTTTTATATCTTTACAGGAGTTTATCCAAGTCACCAGTACCTCTGGCTCCAACAGCTCATTTTGCAGCAACTGGTTCTGTGTTGCTTTACCCAGGAAAAGTTGCAACATATCCTGATGGACTTGTCATTTCAGATACTGGACATAACAGAATTTTGCTGACAGATAAGATGGGTAATGTAAAGGTATGATTACTTACTTATTTTTTAGTATTATCGTTATTTATTTATTTATTTTATTATTATTATTTTTTTTTTTTTTTTTTTTTTTTTTTTTTTTTTTTTTTTTATCAGGTCAAAGCAGAAAGGTAGAGTGGACAGTCCTATCTTTGACTTTCTCGTAATCTTTAAAATGTCTTTGATCACTCTTTTGCCCTTTGATGAAATACTTTGCTTGTTGCAAATGGAAATGATGAAATCCAACAGAAGGAAGGCCAAAGAGTACCATCATCTGCCTGGGGAACCTACACTAGAAGATTTATATTTTTTCAAACACAGTGATGAAGTCACTAGATTTACTGCTCATTCTTTTTAGTAGAAACACTGACATAGTATTATTTGTATGATTGCCCTATCTAATATTTTTCTAAAGGTGAAACACTTAATAGGATTTTGTATCCAAGGTAGTTTCTGCAGTGATAGTGTTGAGCTCGGTAATATATGATACCCTCTGCTCATTCAGAGGTTTTGGTCAATGAAAATTCAGGATTTTATGAAAATATGAATAAAAAGGAAAACAGTTTTTTTTTTCTTTTCTTCTTTTTTCTGCCAGTTGATAAGTGCTCAGATTTAGGGTATTTATATAACTTGCTTTTTAACAGCATTTCATTATCCTCATTAAAGTAGAGAAAATTGTGATTCAGCATTCTGGATGTATTCTTCACTTTCACTGATTAATCCCTATATTAACCTTCATATATTGGTTAATTTCCTAAGGTATCTTGAAATGTATGCAGATTATGATTTTATACCACAATCTTGTGTTGCCTCTATGTGATATTCAAAAATGTTTTAGGTATAACATCTTAGAATTAGCTTGTTTAGATGACATTTTAGAAGACAACTTTAAAAAATTATTACTTCTTTTTTTAAATACAGTGATGTTAATATGAATTATAAGCCAGATGCTGTCATATATTTTATTAATGAAAGGAAGATATATACAATTTCTTATA